TTGGTGTATGCCATGAGGTGATCTCCCGGGTTGGAGGTACCATCATAAGTAAATACCAACACGTTTTTAACCTTAGCCAGCTGTGCCGCCTTGGTTATTTCCAAGGTGAACGCAGAAGGTTGTTCACCCAGACTGAGTAGACAAAGCTGCCAGTCCAGTTGCTGGACATTCTTGTATGCCGCCTGACCTCCGAAGAGAGCCGACTGCATGAAGTGAGGAGAATAAGGGCCGTAGACCATAGGCAGCACGTACGGTGCATTCCCAATCATCTGAGGGCCAGAGTGGACGGTATTACCGCCTGTACGACTCTCATAAATGGATTGTGCATTCCCTGCATATGTACTTTTAAAGCTTTCTGGAAATCTTGAAGTGGAACTGACTCAGACAAATGTTGATTCCTCTTGCATGTGATGATCTCCCGGGCATCAAGAGTTGATTTATTGTTTCCCCCCGGCTGTTCACTTTGGCGGGTTCTTTTGGTATTCCTTTTGGGTAGAAGAATCTTGGACCAGTCAAGGGTCCCAACTACCTTGTCCTTCAGATGCGGAGTTGGCTGCCTGTCCCTGACTGGCATCCTCTTTTCTAGAAGAGTCTTTCTTGCCGACTGACCCTTACTTGGGCCAGCTCGGCTCTTGGTGATCAGATACTTGATTTCACCTTGAAACTAGTCATGAATTTCATGAGTTTGTCCTGGGTGACTGGAGCAGATCCACTTGCCGTATGGGTTTCCCCTTCCCAAAATCGGGGGGTCGGCTTGTACTCGCCTGGCTTGCACCTCTTTCTATAGTGTCTTTGGGACGAAGGCGCTTGGTTATCAGAGAGCCATCCTTGGTTATATAGGTTTCGACGTGAGGATCATCGTCCTCTTGGTCAGACTTCCGGATGGTCTGGATGTGGTACAGACTCTTGAACCATCTTTGAGGTACTCTCCTCACAGACGGCGCCAAATATTTTGGGTGTTTTTGTCCCTCGGGAGTGTTATGTCACAAAGACTAGTCCGACTCGAGTTGCACCTGCAAAAACAACAGCGACTCCGGTTTTTGGAGCTCCGCCTCCAACAGTCAAGTTAATAACTTAAAAAGAGATTAATGGATGGAAAAATTAAATAGGATCTTCTCGTATTCCAAGATCAGGTTTTCTCTGATAAGAGAGAAAGTGTAATAAATGATTGAATGTGTCCCACAATTTGGGGAATATCTCCCTATTTATTAGGTCATTGGAAGGTGTGCCCCTATCTAGGTCATTTGACCTAGATTTGGTGGGCTGTGCCGTTTTACGGCGCTCTTGGAAATTGGGCCCTTGAAGGCCGCAATTTTAGGAGGTATCTGAAGGTGACACATGTCAGATGGCTATTGGTCCACTTGGACCAGCCTGGGCTTGACACGTGGCCCTCTCTCATTGGTCCACATGTCTAGGGTAATTTTACCCTAAACAAAGATTGTCATGAATATGTCGAGAAATGTATGAAGTGTCAAGTCGATCTACGCAAATTTGCAACACGTTCCACCTTCGCTTCTCTACACATATACTTCTCCATGGCCTTTCTCTACTCAGGGAATCGACATCATTGGGAAGATAACACCACTAGGACAAGGGGGACACAAGTTCATCCTTGTAGCAATTGACTACTTTACCAAATGGGTCCAGGATGCTTCATTTACTAAACTCACAGCAAAACATGTAGCTCAATTCATCGAGAAAAGCATCATTTGCTGCTACGGTGTACTGCACAAAATGATCAGTGATAATGGGACGCATTTCCCAGTCAAGTGCGCATAATTGTTACAGAAATATCATATCAAACATCATAGATCGTCACCCTATAGATCAGAAACAAATGGTGCGGTTGAATCGTCCAATAAGAATGTGAAATCTATCATCTAAAAGTTGACGGAATATTATAAAGATTCGCCAACCAAGCTACATTTCGCTCTTTGGGGTTATCGAACTTCTGTTCGTACATCAACAGGGCCTGCCCCTTTCTCCTTTGTCTATGGAGTCGAAGCTGTGCAACCAACAGAACTCATAATCCCTTCTCTACGAATCGAGTTGGAAAGCGAACTAGATGAATTCGACTGGATAATAGCGAGATATGATGAACTAGTCTTACTTGACGAAAAACGCTTGGCAGCTTTGCATCATGTCCGAATCTTTTAACAACGTATGAAACAACATTTCAATAAAAAAGTCAAGGCTAGGAATATTAAAGAAGGTGACTTAGTGCTTAAGGCACTTCACAAAAATGTGTTTGATCCAATAGGAAAATTTAGACCAAACTGGTCATGTCCATACATTTTCAAGTCCATTTTGTCTGGCGGACCGGCACAATTAGTAGACGTGGATGGCAACGGTTTCCACAATTTAACCAATTTGGATCAACTCAAGAAATTTTATGCCTAGTTGCAAGAGTTCAAGACCCGATAGAGCTACGTTTGGCCTGATTCCTTTTAAGGATACATAAGCAACCCCTCAAGGGGGCGCAACCACATTAAAAATAAAAATCAATTCTTCGTCAACATACCTACAACATAAATTGAAGAAAATTGCAAAGCAAAAGCCACCGTATCACGTCAAGAAAACGTCACGACGCGGCAGAAAATAATGCGACTCGACGGAATTTTAGCGGAAATATGCAGCAGGAGGGTACCGTGCCACGGCAGAGTACACCGCGACATTGCATAATTCACCGCGCAGCGGAAAAAATTACTGTGACATGGCGAAATTTCAACAAAAAAAACCGCAGCTGCACCGTGTCACAGTAAAACGTACCGCGACGCGACAAAAATTACCGTGACACAACAATGTTCACCGTGACGCAGCATTTTTTCTAGTTTTATGAACTATTTTATTCGATTCTTCTATTGCATCCGACTTCTTGACTCGGATTAAAAAAAATAACAATAAAAAGAAGTCATTATTGTAAGTTTTAATTAAGGCAAAAATAAATATGCTATTATTAATAAAATAAATGTTACTACAATTATTGGTATCATACGCCTTATTCAAAATTAAAACTTAAATCATAAAAGCAAAGCAATATTGGTCTAATTCTTCTTCACTTTAGAAGCTTCCTTCTTCTTTTCAACTGTGCTAAAGTGAGTTGAACGTGTTAATTTCCTTTTAATGAGATCATGATCATTTATTTTCAATTGATTCCTTAAATTGATTGCTATGCCAAAAAGCCCCTTAGTTCTTATGGATGGATCCCTTGACTTGCCCTTGCACTTGTATTAGGCTGGTAAGGTGTTAATAAGTAAAAATGGGTTGATGTAAGGATTAAGGTAATAGTGACGACCTATCGTTCTACCCTTATCCATTATTTTTTATTTATAAAGCGTACAAACAATTGTTCAATATGCTTCAAACATATAAGGCTAAGTTGGTTGATATTTCTGCACCTATAATTAATATGGTGATCACTTCGATTAAGCAACAAGATCAATAAAAAAATTGCTGTCCAATTTATCTTATTAGTGGTGATTTTCTATTACAGGTCTTGATTAAACATAAATTTGGTTATTAAAATAACAATCATGCATGATAACATTGGAGGTAACTCGGTTGTAGTTAAACATACAATCAAAGCATCCTAAATGTGCCATTAATTATATATTGGAAACGCTCTAGGTAGGCATGCTATTAGTAGAATTAATTTAATGCGTAAACATGATGTTAATAATGAAATAACCCTAAACTTGATATAATGAAAGGAAAATCACAATCCTTATATGAATTGCAAAGGATAATAGTAAACTACTTACTTCAATTATGTAACCTTATAACTGCAAAAGGTATAAATCATAATTAGCTTCAAGAAAAATAATAATCCATTTATCGAGATAAATTAATTAAAAAGAGTTTAGGATTTGTTAAACCCTCAGGAATTAAAAATTTCATGCCATGGTCAAAGGAGAGAACTTCGAGTATCATAAAGGCTCATCAATATGCTTCAGGAAGAAATGATGAAAGACTAGAAATTCCTAAAGTTTAGAGAAGCTTGTAAGTCGTCAAAAATGGGTTTCAGAACCATTAAAACAAGTCTGTTATTTATAGGATAAAATAAAATAGAAATTAAAAAGAAATAAATAGTTAGAAACTGTTGTGCCACTACACAAAAATATTACGTGATGCGACAGTAACCAATGCAACATAGCATTACCAAAAGGGTATATATGTTTTTGAATATTTGATTTTAAAAAGTACCTAGAAAATGAGAATAACATGTTGTTATGACACAGTAGCGTTTATCGATCCCAAATAGGATCTGTTAGGCTACGACAAAAATTATTGCGGTATGACAATCGGGTGACTTTTAGAAAGTTCTTAAATAGGTTATTTAACAAGTTTTTTTTAAATTTAATGTAATCTATATAGCAATAGTTTTAACGCATTTCCAAGTTTGGGCTTTTGAGAATAGGCTTTTACTAGGTTTCGTTAGAATAAATATGATTGGGGTAAGGATAAAAATAAGGCAAGTGTATAAATGAATAAATGTTTGGGCTTTAAATGGGATGGATTGAGTGGATTAAAACAAATATGGGTATGATTTTTTTAAAAAAACTCAATCACTTTTTTTATCCTATGCGCAAACTAACGAAGGCAGTGAAAGGTCATCCATCACTACCAGGTTTTGGTCGGGGAGAAACATTTAGGTGTTTTTTTGTTTTTTTTTAAAAACATTATATCGAGGTGTCGAAACATCTCCATATTAATATAAGAATGCTCAAACACATTTTCACTCTTCATTTCAGTGTTTAATGCTTACAAGATGTAAAACGTTTCTCTATAATTTTGTAAACCTGTAGCAAAGTGCAAATGACAAAATAAATTAAAAAAAATTAGAGGTAAGCAAGTCATAGTAACTAAAGGTGTTTCATTTTAATTTGATAAATTAAAATTATATTGCTACAAAAATATTAATTAATTTTGTTTATTGCATAGCAATTAAACATATCTTTGTAACATATTTTCGATGATAGTTACTTGTCTTTACCATTATGTTAAATTCTAAAATAATCGAGGTCGGCTCCAACTACATCAAGTGAATTTGAGAACAAGTTTATTATCGCTTCCTCAATTGAGAAATTCCTATAAATGGGTGGATTTTCTTTTGATGTTAGCTCCTTTATTGGACCAAGTATCTTCTCAGATGTCATAATACCACTGAAAAAGAATGCAATAGAGATCCTTGGTCCAACACTTTTAGCAATCACTCTATGACATGCAGCTTTTATTATGTCGTTAGTTATCATCTGTAAGATAAAAAGATTAGAGCTATAAGTGTACAAGAACAATGTAAATATATTGTTAAACTTCTTTCATCTAAGAACAAGTATACAATGGAAAGAAGTAATGCCGGAAGTATTGATCCGAAGTTAACAATCAAACCACCAGTAACAGGCTCAATATTAACCCATTTGTTATCATGAAGTACTTGAAGTCCACCAATATTGTCTTGTAAGAGTATTGTGATAAATGAAGTATCAATATGGGCAGCAGTTCCCAAGGTCAATTCTAGTTGTGGACATGATGGATAATAATTATTAGCTATGGCCCAACTTTTTGTACCTTTTGCCATATTTTCAAGACAATCGGGTTCAAGTCCTAGACCGATTGATATTATCATAAGTATGCCATTACCGAGCATATGGATGTGATCAATAAACTCCAACATCACATCCCTACAAAATGAATATATATTATAAATTAAAAACAAGGAATTTTAATAAAATTAACATTAAGACGATTCAAATAAGATCCTATATGACTAATATCAAAGTAAAGTGTATGGATGAAGTAGAAGTCAAAAGTATATGTCTAACTAAATTAAATAAATGAAGTATGTATTAAATTGATAAAATGTTGCTCCATTTATTTCTTAAGGATGACAACAAGATGAATTTGGAGTATATTAACTTGATAATAAATTTTTTCATATAGTGACAGATGTAGCTCACATATATATTGTGGAGGTGCCTATACCTTATGCCCTCATCTGCGAAAAAAAAGTTTTTTTTTTTCATACATTATAAAGTTAGCAAGCGAAAGCTTGGAATAATTGAGTAAGTAATTACCCACTATGCTTAAAAATTTTCGATTTTTTTTTAATTTCACATTCTCATTAACACAGACACACACAATATTTTCCTAAAATACATCATATATTTATTACAACTTTTTTAGATATAATCTTATGCTCCGACTTTTAGTATAATGTCTTTACTATTTTAATTGTGCACATTTTGTTTTAAAATCTTGTTCTTATACTCATCATCTTGTTCATGAAACATTTTAGTTCGCTTAATCATCTTTTCTAACAATTCATTAGGGATCCCATGGTTTATAACTTGAAAAAATCCCCACTCATTTGATGCCATTATTATTTCCTTGGCAATCTCAGCAATTCGATCATTGTTTTCACCAAGATCAGCAAAGTTTATTATTGGCACACTTATATTTTCAGAACATGTATCAAAATCTTTTTCACGATCCTCAAGCGGTCTAACAAACATGCTAGGAACTTTTTGTATACCAGCATCTATAAGCCTTTTGACACCAAGTTTTCCTTCATCAAACACCTTGAGTTCATAAATTCGATCATAGCTACTTTTTGTTTCATTATTGATGGCATTTTGGGCTTCCATCGGACCTTAAAATCTGTCTTAAATTAAATAACTTGATTCTCTTATTGGTTAAGATTATTTTAGAGTTGATGAAAATTATGAGAAGATTCATTGATTTTATAGTATCAGGAGATCAAATGCATGAATAAATCATGGGCTACTAGCCTGCATATCCATGTGATATCAATAATTAAAAATAATAAAAAAAAGGTAACTAATATATTATTGTGAACCTCATTAATTAGAAATTATCATGAGAGGCATGATCACATTTCTTTATCATGTGAATATCTCTTTAATTGGAAACATTTATGAGGCATGAGGCCATTGCTCTTTCATGTGAATCTCATTAATTGGAAATAATCACAAGAGGCATGAGGCCATTGCTCTATTATGTGAATATCATTATTTGGAAATAATCATAAGAGGCATGAGGCCATTGATATATCATGTGAGTAAGAGTTTCGAAATATCATTTGTATCATTGAACCAAGAGATTATTTCTTTTTTTCTCAAAACACATTTATACTTTGGGTTTTTAAAATTAATTCTTCAGTTTCGTATAAATATATATTTTTTATACTTCAAAGACTAAAATTTAGATTAAATGTATTTAGTAAATATTGTCAAGAATAACATGACGACCTTGGCTAGTCTTCCCACAAAAAAAAAACCTTTTTATATCCTAGAATAATGCGACCTTTGGGGGCGTCTGGTCAAAATAAAATATAACCAGTTGGTAACCTGTTAAAGAAGTAAAATTTGACATGTGACACATTGTATTGATTATTATATATTAAATATTATTTTATTTTTACAATTTTTATATTTTAATAAAATATTTATTTCTTACTATTAAAAAACCTCTCTGTCTTCTCTTTCCTCTCATCCTATAGTCAATCAGTTTTATGGCCCCCACCCCTCCATAACCATCACCACTTCACCACATAAACCCCACCTTAAAACTCCATTTCCACCCCACCCTTAGCTGACCACAACTAACCATGACCCCACCACAAGCTCTCCAACCCCAACCATCCATGATCCAACCCGTGAATTGAACCTCACCCCTATCCTTGAAATGAGGAAAATCCCACCGGCCACTCCTCATCCTCACATTCTACCACCACTTGAGTCCTTATCACCACCCTAAAAATAACAAGTTCACCATCACAAGTATCCCCTCAAAAATACCATTAAAGCCACCGTTGAAATCAAATCTAATAGTGTTGTTATGAGGAAAAAGATAGGGATCGGATATGGTGAGTTAGAAATGTAAGAAGGGGAGGAGGCTAGGTGGCGCTACAAGATGATAGGGTTAGAGGGGAAAAGGTAGAGGTGTTGCGAGAAGAATAAGTAGGTAGAGTCTAATGGCGCTAGCTAGGGGTGCTAAACAGGATGGGGAAATTGGAAGTGGGATTTTTTTTGTTTTTGAAGAAGTCTATAAAAAGTTAAATTCATTTAATTAAAATAAAAAATTTAAAAATTAAAATTAAAATTAAAAAATCTTACGTAATAAAGTCAAATTAGTTTAAATTAAATGTGAAAATTAAATTAAAAATAAAAATGTATTATGCATTTTTTCAAAAGTGCTTGTTTGGGGGTAAAATACCTCATGCCAAATGGCCCGATTAAAAGCTAAAATCTAGCCAATCAAATACTGAAATGTGTCCTCTAATTCTTTCTTCTAAATTGGATTATCAGAGCGTGGCAATTGGTAACAGAAAATTCCTTGACGATCAAACAAACAAAAGCTACATGCAAAGCCATATAAATTCATTCAAATAGCATTCCCATTAAACTTGTCTCACGTGTGTTGGGAAGCTAATCAAATTGCACCTTTTGAGGACACCAAACCCTAGTCATGCAATTTACGGACATTAGTGGAGAGGAATAGAGTAAAATATTGTCAAAAGTTTCCAAAAATGATATGGGAAAATTATTTAAGTGTGGCTGCAAAGAAAAAGTGGAACAATTTTACAAAAGGAGTAGGTGTAGGAGTTTATAGGTACTACTTGCGGAATAACATGAATTATATTCATAGAGCACCTAATCCCTAGATATCATTGCATAACACATAAAGAACAAGTAATTATACATTTGAAACGTGATTCCACGTGCGATCGAGCAAGAACAATGGGAGATAAAGAACCCGTGATTCCTTTACTTTGTCCACTAATGCTAGTTAGTCGTGATTGAACGCTTCAATCAACCTTCAATGGAGAAGAGAGACACGAACTAACCACGAACCACCATGACGAACACCAAGAGCCACCTAAGGTGGCTGGCCGTACGGCCGTGTATGTGAGGAGAGAGAGATGTATTAGGGTTTGGAATACTGGTTGCCTTGTTTCAAAATTCACTGACTATTAAATCGTCTCTTCATTCAACCCTAGGCATGGATCTTATTTATAGATCAATTCTATAAAAAAGAGCCCATGCCAAGCCTAAAATCTTAAGCCTAGTCAAACTACTCTAGCCCAACACTCCATGTAGTATGTCATAATCTCATGAGGCCCATTGATGGGCCTCCTACTTGTTTAACTCAATAGCCTTGTTGTGTGACCTCATAGGACCATTTTATTAGGATTTGGACTATTTAACAACACCAAAGATCATTTTTCATATCTACCACCAAGCAATGACTACCCAAAAGAATGAACTTATTTATCTCCATAATAGTGACCCTTGATATATCTAGTAATTGCACTTATCGAAGACATAACTCCTTTAATCTCCCACTTGTTTGAGACAAGTGCGCAATATTCAAATTCCTTATGTTAATGTGTGTCGATTTGATAATATGATTTCATCTTATGTTGTGATCATATTAATCTACAAATATTTTCTTGAAAACTGAGTTAGAATTACAAAACAAATGATTACTATGTAATCCATTTGAGCATGACCATGCATTTTCTGAATTCTCCCTCTTTAAGGGGCCAAGACACATTCTTAATAAAATAGGTAGACACAATCTAATCTTGTAGCAACCAAAGCTGCCACTCAACTCCTAAAATTGTCGGGAAACATCCTTTAAAGTCTCCAGTTACGGGAAGACGTTTGAAAGTACCACAATCAAATAATTTATTGAATGGAATCAGTGTTCCACTCATATCAATGGAATCCACTAATATATCCGGAAGCTCTATACTTGAACTTCAAAGTAGGTCTATAGTTTGATCATGCATCATTCATGCATATCCATGTGGTCGATCGAGCTTTATTACGCTCATATAGCCTATGAAACTGCGCTATCCAATCAATCTTACATTCTAGTCCATTTATTGAAATCATTTATGTCCACTTTAACGATTTTGATCTAGGAACATAAATAATATATGAATTTAGTTCACTTGTGGGGTTTCATTCACCAGGTCATCAACCTGATGAGCCCATCAAATCATAAATATTTTGGACATTTTATTTAATGCAAAAACCATAATTAAATAAGATTAAAACTTTGTTTCAATTGATAAACATAATTCTGCAAGTTTAATGTGTTACTTATGTAATATGTTTTCTCAAAATACACAAATTAAATTACATAACTTGCTTCAATCCAAGAACCTTGGTATGCCTCTCATACCTTAGTCATGGAAGGGGTTTAGTAAGTAGAGTTCATGAGACATTCTCATAAACATGAATTTCGCAAGTGCTAAATTTTATAATAATCTTCATATCCATACACTAAGAATTCTCCTTCGTCCTTTCGCAAGGAATTGAGGAATTTCTAATTTGTATTCCAAAGTTACATTGGATTTTGATTGTAATCTATCATCACTTGTCCTTAAAACTCCCGAATCAAATAGACAAGTATAGTCCATGACATGCATGATGCATTCTTTGCATATTGCATGAGGATCATCACTTAAAACCTTAATTTTATCAACCTTTCTCAAAGTATTGAAACGTTAAGTAATGTGCCATGTTACATGGGATTGAAAATCTTTCAATATAATGTTGAACCTTATTAGAATCTTATGAATATAAGATTCTTAATAAAACTCAAACATCCTTCGAGACCTATCTCTATATTTCTTGAATACCAAATGTATTCATCATTCTCTTCAAGGTTTTTCATACAAAATGCATTACCCACCACTAAACTCTTCAAGCAATGAATAATTGCTCTCTATACAAGACCAAGAAGATCGCATAGCTCCCACTAAACATCTTGTATACATAAGACCTTTTCTTCAATTTATGAGAAAATCAAACGATTTTGATTAACTCACAAAATTAAGAACATTAATTCCATGATGCTTATTTCAATCCATTAAAGGATCTTTTATGCTTCCTTAGGATTATTGTATTTTCAAAACCATTCTGATTGTATCATATACAAATCTTTTTCCATGAACCATTTAAAGAAAGCGCTTTGAAATCAATCTACCAAATCTCATAAGGTATAAATCACTAAAATATCTTTAATAGATCTTTGCAACATGACTAATGTAAAGGTTTCACTGTAGTCATAGTCATACTATTAGTTGAATCCTTTAACAAGTCTTTGCTTTAGTTAGAAAACATTTTTCTTTATTTTTTGTTTTGCTTATAATGGGTCTCACCCAAGACAAACTTTTAAATAAAATGGATGTTCAGTAAATTACTGAACATCCGGTATAAAGTGACAATAAAATGTGAAAAAGTTACACTAAAACGCACAAAAGTTACCCTGACATATATAAAAGTTATTTATGCTTCATTGATAAATTTGACAAAAGTGACACTAAATTTGACAAAAAGTGACAATAAATCTGACAAAAGTGTACCCGATGTTCAGTAAATTACTGAAAACCGGGTGTATAAAAAAAATTTCCCTCACTCAATTAGGCAAATTATTCAAGTGTCATACACTTGCTTACAAACTTAGAATCTATTTAAGATTTCCTGGTTTTTAAACCACTTGGAGTTCTAACTTGTCAAATCATCTTTATTACTTGCATAATTATATGCTCCAAAATCAATATTTGAAACACTTATTCAATATGAAATCATATTTATTTGGCTAAGGTTTA